GAGGGAGAAGTGACGGGATGTCCGCTGTGGTTGGCATGGGGAGGGCCTGGGGCAGCGCGGGGTGGAGGGGACGGGGGCCTGTGGCCGTGGCCTGAGAGCCAGGCAGGGCCAGATCCTGGAGACGGAGGACTTTAACCCCTTCCCCGGCAGAAACGTGTATACTCGTTTTCACAAAATGTTCTTTTTCAGTCGTCGACGAGTATACTAAGAAAATATGGTAAAAAAATATGGTTTATAGGAAGACGAGTTACAAACTGTTTTCATAACCAGCATCAAAAATACTATATAGAACCAAAATAAAAAAATTAGTCTGAAAAAGAAACGTTTTTAACAAAAAAATTGTTGGGGAAGGGGTTAACTGGGAGCTCGTAGCCAGGGAGTAACGGTGGGCTATGCCGTTTCAGAAACGTAAAGACGGACCTCACCGCCTCCCTCCCCAGCCAGGCCCACAGGGCTCCCAGAGGCAAAGCATCTGCAGACGACCTCGGTTAATCTGGCACCATGAGGACTCAGAGCAGGGCCTGCCCTGTCAGACAGGCAGAGGGGAGGGCGCTGGCGACGGGGTTGCTCCCAGGATGCCCACGGAGCTGTGTCTGACCCCTGCGGGGCGCGCAGCTCCCTGGCCACCCTGACACGCATCCGCCCACTGCGGACGCACTTCCTGCTGCTGCCGGTCCTGCGGTCCCTGCTTCCTGAGCAGCCACGGCCTGTTCTGGACGTGAGCAGCGGCGAGCACACTCCCTTCGGGGAAGCCGGTGCGGGCGTACCGGTGCCCGGGGCTGCCATGACAGAGCCACAAGCTGGGGTTTAGGCGACAGAAATGTGCAGGTGCTCACGGTCTGGAGGCCACAATATAGGGGGGCACGGCTGCTCCCTCCGAGAGCTCTGCAGGAGGCTGCCAGCCCCCGACCCCACCCCGCACCCCGTCACTGCGGGAGATCTTTGGGGTTCGCTGGCTTCATCTCCCGTCTCTGCCCCCGTCTCCACGCGGCTTCTCCCTGTGTGCCAGTCTGTGTCCGAGCCTCCCCTTTTTGTACGGACACCAGGCCTATTCGATTAGGAGCCCGAGTGGCCTGCACTGACCGTTTCCCAATACGGTCACAGGCTGAGGTGCTGGAGGTCAGGACACGGTCATATCTTTCGGAGGAACACGATGCAGCCCACAAAGGGGGGGCCCAGCGGGGCAACTGGCCCCACTGCCTCCCAGATGACCCCATCAGGAGCACAGGTGCTGGGGCTGGATAAGCCAGCTGTGGGGAGCACAGGGGTGCAGTGAAGCCCCCCACACTGGGCAGGGAAGGGGGGGTGCGTTTTGAGGCGAGGTCGGCTCATTCAGGGCACGCTGTCACTCTTCACATCCTGGAAGCTTTGCCAGGACCCCCACCTGTCGCGGGAGACACAGACGTATAAGCAGGTACAGAAGCCAAGGGCGTGAGGTGGGGTCACACAGGCGATGGGCGCAGGTGAGAGGGAGGCAGAGCCCGAGGCCGCTGTGGGCACCAGTAACACACGGGCCGGCTTTAACTCAGAGCTGTGCATCGTTATAAAACAGCGGTTCTCAACCTTCCTAACGCCGCGACCCTTTAATACAGCTCATGTGGTGACCCCCAATTTCATTGTCACAAATTGAACATCATTAAAGCATAGTGATTCATCACAAAAACAATATGTAATTATATATGTTTTCCGATGGTCTTAGGCGACCCCTGTGAAAGGGTCATTCGACCAACAAAGGGGTCGCGACCCACAGGTTGAGAACCGCTGTTATAAAAGGTTCCCACAGGAAAACGGGGCTTGAACACTTTGGACATCGGCCTGCTGTGAGTGCGCCCCCTGCTGGTAGCCAGCGGCGGGCTCTGGCGACACTGGTGAGTGCCTGAGCGCGGCTGGACCGCAGAGCCACCGTCCAGGTGTGTCGCCCTCCCCACTCCTCTCCCTTGGACGGCCCGTCACGGTGTGACACGGACACACACAGCCCAGAGGCTCCGTTTTGTTGTGTCTCGCTTTTTTTTCATTTGATTACAAAACATTTCAATCATGCAGGAAAACGGGAAGAATCGTACAGCCTGCATCCGAACACCCACCACCCAGATGGCACAGTTAATGCTGGCTTCATTGCTCATCTGTGCTGACGGGCTCTTTGAAATTCCGGGCGTGGGCTGATTACAAAAGGGACGCCCACACGGGGAGGTACCCTCCTTCCACAGGTGAGGAGGCCGCAGGGGAGCCGCCCCGCTTGCCCAGGTCACACGGCTGGTGGTGGGGAGTGGTTTACAGGGAGAGAGCCTGAGCCCCAAGCCCTGCTCGTCCCCCCTTACCCTCCAGTGAGCCCCCACAACCCCACGAGCCCCCCCCCATTGCAGGAACCAGAAACATGTACCTGACCCCAAAGTGTACACAGTACAACCCTATGTGTGCCAAACCGAAGTGTTCGCTGGGACGGGGTGGTGGGGGCTGACTGCCAAGGAGCATGAGGCAACTCGTGTGGGCTGGTAGGAATGTTCAGGAAAAGACACAGATGCGCCCTAACCGGTTTGGCTCAGTGGACAGAGCATCGGCCTGCGGACTGAAGGGTCCCAGGTTCGATTCCGGTCAGGGGCATGTACCTTGGTTGCGGGCACATCCCCAGTAGGGAGCGTGCAGGAGGCAGCTGATCGATGTTTCTAACTCTCTATCCCTCTCCCTTCCTCTCTGTAAAAAAATCAATAAAATAATTAAAAACAAAAAACACAGATGCTCCCACCCTCCCACCCCCACCCCGGCGTCCTGACAGCCAAGGGCCGGGCCCTAACACACCTGCAACCAGAAAGTGTCGCTGCCTGCTGTGCCCTTGTCTACCAGCAGGTGGCGGCTCCGCCTCGTGTGCATCCGCCTCTGCAGGCTCCCGCGTTGGCCACCCCACTTGCACGGGCACCTCCGGCCTCTCCAGGCAGGTAGGAGACCTGCGTGGAGGAGGCTGTAGCTGCTGCGAGGGCCACCGAGTGCTCCTGCAG